CTCTTTGTGCTGTCACTGTTCATGTGCAAAAGCATCAAGAAAAATTGCCCAATGACCAATGACCTTGACCATTGACCATTGACCTTGTTGTACCATGATTTCGGAATATTGTGTTTGTATTTAACGCATTTCCTCTTTCACTTTGTACAAAATTTCTGTTCTTTTCCTTTCCCGTGAAAGCTATATTGTCCAAACCCCCTTTAGATTGCTTCACACATGCACAAACTTGTGTGTTATGCTAGAAATGGGGAGATTTTTAGTTCTGGAGTTTTTGTTTGCTATTTTGTGCTTTACAACAAGCGAATACACTAGCTATGGTGACTCCAGCCTAATTAATTGCTCAGAATCAGATTTGGCAGCTCTTATTGACTTCAAAATTGGCCTTGACGACCCTGAAAACAGGCTCTCATCATGGCAAGGGAGCAACTGTTGTCAATGGCGTGGAATTGGTTGCAGCAATACAACTGGAGCTGTCGTCATGATCGATCTTCATAATCCATATCCTGTAAGTTTTGAATCTTCAAGTAGGAATGGTTTTTGGAATTTGAGTGGAGATATCAGTCCTTCATTACTAAGACTTAAATCTTTACAATATTTAGATCTGAGTCAAAACACCTTTAGTGGTATCCCAATTCCTGAATTCTTGGGATCATTGAAGAATTTGAGATATCTAAATCTGTCAGGAGCTGGCTTTAATGGTATAATCCCACCAAGTCTTGGAAACCTCTCTAAGTTACAGTTTCTTGATGTCTCTTCTGATTTTTTAAATGTGAATAGTCTCGAATGGGCAGCTGGTCTTGGTTCTTTGGAACATCTTGCCATGGACGAAGTTGATCTTTCCTTGGTAGGACCTGATTGGCTTGGGATATTAAATAAGCTTCCACTTTTAAATACGTTGCACCTTTCAGAATCCCGTCTTTCTGGTTCCATTTCATTTCCTAGTCCTGTTAATTTCTCTTCACTATCTGTTGTAGACCTCAGTTTTAATGGCTTCAATTCAAGGCTCCCTGAATGGTTGGCCAATATCAGTAGCCTTACCTATGTTGATTTAAGCAATAGCGGTCTGTTTGGCAGAATTCCTCTAGCTTTTGGTGAAATACCAAGTCTGAAGTACCTAAGTCTCGCTGGAAACTTTAATCTTTCTGCCAGTTGCACTCAGCTATTAAAGGGAAGCTGGAAAAAGATAGAAGTTCTTAATTTAGCTTCAAACAAAATACATGGTAAACTCCCTGCTTCGATTGGAAACATGACATCTCTCACAAATCTTGATTTGTTTGACAACAATGTAGAGGGTTTGATCCCAAGATCCATTGGTAAACTTTGTAGCTTAAAGAATTTAGATCTTTCAAGCAATAACTTGAGTGGGAGTCTGCCTGAAGTCATAGAGAATTGTGTTTCAAACAGTCCTTTTCCTGATATGATTTACATGAGACTAAGCGCAAATCAATTAGTGGGAAAATTGCCAAGATGGATAGGTCAGCTTCAGAGACTTGTAGAACTTTACCTCAGCTCAAATTTGTTTGAAGGTCCAGTCCCATCTTCAATAGGGCAACTGCAAAACCTCACCGATCTTGGACTTGGAGGCAATGAACTAAATGGGACTCTCCCAGATAGTTTTGAACAGCTTTCTCAGTTATTAGTCTTCGATGTTTCTTCAAATCATATGACAGGTATCATCTCTCAAGCTCACTTTTTAAAGCTGAGTAAGCTGAAGATATTGCGTCTGTCTGCAAACTCTTTCATCTTCAATGTCAGCTCCAGTTGGGTTCCTCCATTCCAGGCCCACGATCTTGATTTGGGTTCTTGCTATCTAGGTCCTTCATTTCCAGCCTGGCTCAAGTATCAGAAGGAGGTCGTGCTTCTGGATTTCTCAAATTCTAGCATTTCAGGTCCCATACCTGATTGGTTTTGGGGCATTTCTGGCAACCTATCTCTGTTGAATGTTTCTTTCAATCAATTACAAGGCCGGCTACCAAATCCTCTAAATGGATCATCTTTTGCAGTTGTTGATTTCAGTTCTAACAATTTTGAAGGATCAATTCCAGTTCCAGCAGTGAAGATTCTGTTGCTAGACCTCTCAGACAATCAATTCTCTGGCCTCATCCCTCAAACGATCGGAGAATCCATGCCCACCTTGATCTTTCTATCTCTTTCAGGGAACAGATTATTGGGAGAAATCCCAAACTCCATTGGAGGAATGTTTTTGATCGAAGTTATTGATCTCTCAAGGAACAGATTAACCGGGAGCATTCCTTCAAGCATAGGGAATTGTTCATCCCTAAATGCTCTAGACCTTGGAGACAACAACCTTTCAGGTGAGATTCCAGGGTCTTTAGGTCAATTATCCCAGCTTCACTCAATGCACCTAAGCAGCAATAACTTCTCTGGAAACATCCCACCATCTTTCAAAAATTTATCAAGGTTAGAAACATTAGATCTTGGGAATAACGGGTTATCTGGAAACTTTCCTCACTGGATAGGAGAAGGCTTTGCAACCCTAAGAATCCTTAGCCTGCGATCCAATGCATTTTCAGGTGAAATCCCATCAAAGTTGTCAAGTTTAAGTTCGCTGCAAATCCTGGATCTTGGGGAAAACAATATGACAGGCATCATTCCAGAAAGCCTTGGTGATCTCAAAGCCATGACTGAAGAGCAGAACATAATCCAGTACTTGTTCATTGGAAATTACAGAGACCACCATTATGAAGAAAACTTGATACTCAACATAAAAGCCCAAGCACGAAGATTCACCAAGATCCTCTACCTTGTCACCAGCATAGACCTCTCTGGAAACAACTTCCATGGAGATTTCCCAATAGTGATAACAAAACTACCGGGCCTGGTAGTTTTGAACCTCTCAGGTAACCAAATCAGCGGCCAGATTCCTGAAAACATTTCAGGGCTACATCAACTGTCATCTCTTGACCTCTCAAGAAACCGGCTGTCCGGGGCAATTCCTTCAAGCCTGTCTTCATTATCTTTTCTAGGCTATCTTAACCTCTCGGACAACAACTTCTCCGGGATGATTCCTTACTCGGGTCATATGACAACTTTTGATGCATCATCTTTTGATGGAAATCCAGGTCTTTGTGGAACTCCACTTTACATAAACTGCAAGGGTGATGATTCTGATAAAGGAGGGATCGATTCTGATAAAAGAGGGATCGAGTCTGAAGGAATGATTGATGGGTGGTTTTACCTGAGCGTTGGATTGGGATTTGCAGCTGGTCTTTTGGTTCCTTTACTCATGGTCTCAATTAGAAGATCTTGGGCTAATTCCTACTTTGGCTTGGTGGATAGAATCGTTAACAAATTTGGTTAATTGGGGTCCAGGGCAGAGTATCACTTCGCCGAAGGCAGACAAGGTCTTGTGCCAAGAGAAACTGCTATCTGTATCAAAAATTAAACTGTTGTTTGCATTATTAGCATGTGATAGTTTCAGTCTTGCTGTGCTTTCGTTTCTTGCAACTTTTAAATTTGATCTTTAAGGGAATAATTTCCTAGATGTGAATACTTATGGTTTGGTCTAAACCGAGACAAAATGTTGAGAAAAGTAAAAGTAATAAGAACCAAGTGTTCGCTGTTGTGGTCCAGCTGTGGTCGGGAAGGGTTCCTTTTACAAAACTTCTATTTAAGTCCTGAAACTTTGCAACTTTCCTTGAGCAAGCACTTTGAGAATTGTTTGAACTGCTTAAACCTTTCTCATCTCTTTTTTTGAATAAAAAATCAAAGTAGATATAAAAGGAATTTATGGTTCAATCACATAAAATTTTTTTTTTTGGCCATCAATTACAGAAACTAAAAAAAGATAATAACATATGTTACAGTAAAAAACTTAAAAATAAAACTTTTGCTTATGCAAAACTAATGTTTGTGCTTTGGAGTATATATAGAAAATAAATTATTTTATAGTTTAAACTATATTAAACTGTAAAGTAATTGTTTTTTAATGGAGAGAAGGTCCTTTAATATTAAATTTTTTTATTTTACAATTTAATACAATTTAAAATGTAAAATAAAAAATCTATATATATATATATAAACAATAATTTACCCTCTTTTTAATAAACGATGCTTCTATAAGAAGATGATGCTTTCCAATTGCAAAGTAGCCTGGTCGCAATCAATGCCTTCGCTCCGATTAGGAAAATCTCAATCAGAATGCACTTTCATTACGTTTAGGGGTCTTGATCATTCAAACAATTCTATTGGGGCTCAATCAAAAACTATCTTGAAGTTTAAGGGCTTATAAAAAGCTATTTTTTCTCTAAATCGTATCACTACCCGCCATTTAACACATGAAAAAGGCCATTCATCATTACAGGAGTAAGAACAACAGCAACTCAAGAAAAATAAAAAAATCTTTGGGTTCCTCTTTCTCTCTCAGCCATGGCTCTCCTTGCTTCGATCCCCACACCTCCACTCTCTGCATCAGTCTCATTTCGAAGGACGTTAGGTAGTCCCCGGCCACGACGTTTTGGTACTTTTGCAGCAGTCAGTTCATCGTCTCCAGAGTCATCGGCATCACCATCAGGAAGTGGTGAAAGTGCTTTGTCTTCTAAATCTGCATCAAAACCCTTTATTGAATCGACTAGAGCGCATGATTCCAGCTTCAACTACGCGTTGACGAGCCCCAATGGGAACCCAATTGTTCAGATTGTTCGATCGGCAGAGTCCAACATTGAGAAGGTATCTATAAATTCTTCTTTTTCACTCATTCGTACCTTTTGGTGATTTCTTTTATGTTGGTTTGGTTGGAAAAAAATGAAGCTTGGTTCTTGCTAAGTAATTGTTTAAGTGGAATTGATGAGAATGAGTTTAAGATTGGTTAATTGATAAACCTATGTGCTCAATTTCAAGAGGTAAAATTTTCTGGATAAACATGATGTGTCTCATCCACGACTCAGATGTTGAACTTTAATTTGCATGACACTGAAGTTTCCCAATTCATAAGGAGTCTCACCCTGAAGAGGTGCAATCCAGATGTTTGAAAGATTGCTCACTTGAATAAGTAGATAGTGTCCTGCTTCACTAATGCCTCTTTTTCTCTAGAAAACTTATTTAAAATTCCCTGAAAACATGAGCAAATATATAAGTTCTATCTTTGTATGAGTTAAGGTTTATCAAGTAATAATGGCTGTTAATGAATTAGCCACGAAAGTAAAGAGTTTTCATTGTTAGAATAGTGCTGAACAAGGTGATCTACAATCTACATTATAAATTTTAAAATTTTACATATACCATTTGGTTTACGCCAAGAGATATTTGTGCAGTTCTTCTTCCATTTCTTGACATTCTTTCCCTTTGTGTTCAATGCTATGCAGACTATCTTTGACTTCCGCTTCTTGGCACTTCTGGCTATTGGAGGTTCACTGGCTGGTTCAGTGTTGTGCTTTTTGAATGTACTTTCTAAACCCTTATTCTAGGATTTGTTGAATTTATACAAATAAAGTAGTGCACAAACTGTTACTTGCTTGGAGGGAGGTTACCTTAAACTGAATTGGTTAAATGATGTGATTTTAGATGGTATGAACTCTACACAATCCATTGAACTAGCTATGCCTACTGAACTCTTTCAATTCCTTGAAGGGTTGCGTTTACATCATTGATGCATACAATGTATACTGGTCAAGCTGTGTTAAAGGGATTCACACAGGAAAGATGGTTCTACGATTGGTTGAAGCTATTGGTAAACTCTCAAAAACACTCAACTCAACCCAAAATAGAATTCTGATGATCCTATATGTAGCTTTTTCTCAAATTATTTGAATCATCTTACTAGTAGCTTGAGTTAAACCTTCTTAGCCTCTAAGGGCCATCAGATTGGAAAGAATTCTTATTGACAGTTTTCTATAAGTGTTCCATATTGATCATAATGTTTATTGATACTCACAAAGGCAATGCATATTGATACTGGTTGCAGATGTTTATCTTGCTGGGACAGTCATGCTAATATTTGCTATGGGCTTATTTGGGTTATTTATCAGTAATGTGTCTCCAGATTCGCCTCCAAATGTTGATCGTGCCATTAAAGGATCATCCTTGTTTGGAATGTTTGCTATGAAGGTAACATTTTTTTCACTTAAATGGAGAGGAACTACTGTCAAGAGAATGTATGTCAAGATTAAGTTATTTGCATTGCATCCTCCCATGAATTGAATGAAATGGAGAAGAAGAATTTTTGAAGAAATATGTAGTATTTCCTGATGTAAACTGTACAATAAAATGGTGTGTACATACAAAACAAATACATAATCAAGGATATAATTAATGGTATAATTGTGGGATTATGATGTCCAAAGTCAAGGCCGATATCCTGTTCATACTTGAGAGTTGAGCCCAGTATTCTTTTCATATTTTAAGGCCTTGAATTGGTTGCTTGTCCAGAAAATAGGGCTAATGTTTATATTTTGAAGGGGAATGTTCTCTATGTATAATCATATCTTGTTGGAAACCTCCCCTTGCACAAACCATGAATCATTGCATTTTTTTTTTTTTTTAACCATAAATTATCTCACTTCTATTTCTATTCGTGTGTGATAATTGTGCTTCAAGTTACTAAAGTAGTAAAATGAGATTTTTTTCTTTTGCAGGAAAGACCAAAATGGATGAAAATAACCTCTCTAGATGAACTAAAGACAAAAGTAGGGCACGTTATTGTGATGATTCTTTTAGTGAAGATGTTTGAAAGAAGCAAGATGGTGCAGATAACCACTGCTATGGATCTACTAAGCTATTCTATCTGCATTTTCTTGTCTTCAGCATCTCTATACATCCTTCATCACCTTCACAAACCGGAATAGAGATGTGAAATGAATATGAACATTGTTAGATCCTGAGCAGCTTCACCATGTATTTGTATTTTAACTTGTCGTATTAGTGAAGGAATGCTATTATACTTTCAATAACTATGTACTGTAAGTTAAAAATAGAAAAATATCTGCGTTTGCCGGTAGTCAAACGTGGTCTATTGTGTGGAAGGCAATTATCCTAACCGTTGGACTACAAACACTCACTCCTTCATTTTCACAAACTGTTATCCAAAACGATTTCAAACTATTGATTCTAAGTTAAAAACTAAAAAGAAAAACCGGAGTCAAACCCGCGTCTATCGCTTGGAAGACAATTATCCTAACCGTATGACTACAAATGCCCTTTATTGCCAATGATCTTTTGGTCTGAATAAAAGAAATTTTTTTTTTTGGTCTGAATAAAAGAAATTTTTTTTTTTTTAAATAGAATCTAAGTTCGAGTCTTATGAGTGGAGAAACATGTATTAAGAGAGTTTTTTCCAAATAGAATTCGACGCGACTTGATTTTAGATTAATTGCACCAAATATGATTACTTGATACCAAAAATTACTTTATTTTATGGTCACGTATTGCTTTTTAAAACTCTCTCTCTCTGTTTTTTTTTTTTTTTTTTGGTTTTTTCAATTTTTCTCTTCGACATTTGAGTAAGTTTCCATAATTATAATTTGCTCAAACCGAAGTTTTTAGGGGTATAAAGTCAGTCGAAGATTTTATTATGGTTCCCAAAATACAAGGCAGTGACTAGTGAGATGCAACTCTTGGATGGAGTTTGCCATACTCAGATTGGTTGGCTGGGGAGAGCCTCTTGATCAAAATTTCTTCCCACCATAGCGCAAATTTTGTTTTGAAACACAACTAAGAATGCCTAAAAATTACGATATATATATATTTTTTGTCAGATCATAAATTAAAAAATGCATGTCAATCAAACATCACGCAGGTGAGAATTTAAGAAATATGGTAATAAAATTGATAACATTGGTCATAATTTGACAATACATCCTTGTTCGAGACTTTGTACAAATTGATATCCAACATGCATTATTTTGCTGAATCTCAGTCTAACTATGACTGTGCCTTGTTCCCTTACAATCTCACAACATTCAAGAAACTGTGTGGAAGCTCCGGGCAGAGAACCTAAAAGGGTTGATTGAAAAGTTTGAGACAAACACAGGTGTTAGCCATATTCGTCAGTCAATCATTTACTGGAAGCTTGTAATCTAGCATCTCCTTCAAGTTTAAGCGAATGGAAGGCCCCATTGACGTGCACGTGTGTGCACTTTTCCAGTAAACTCCTTTTGCACCTTTTGGCTTGTTAGCCTCAATTGATTTCTGTTAGATGAAAAAAACAAAGAATGTTAGTGAGAACAGGAAGGGAGATTGCAGTAAAGTGAAGATACAAAGAAGATGAAAGGTCTTGGGGAGGGAAGGAATAACATACCACAGTAGCAAGGAAGTTGGCAAGCAGGTCTTCTTCAGGGAAATCAACTTTCCCAAAAGGTATGTGAACAATCCCAGTTTTATCAGCTCTGTATTCAACTTTCCCCTTTTTGAATTCTTCTACAGCCTAAAAGAAATGATACAATAAAACATTTAGTTGAGTTGAGCTACTAAAAGTTTCACATATGTTACCCAAAAATATTAATTAAGTTTCGGGTATGTTAAGGCACCAACTTCAGGTAATTGATCTACAAATAATTGTTTAAATGCATATTCAAAGAGATGATATCGTTTGGGCACGTGAAAAGATAAGATCCACTAGTGAGTCAATATTCAATAAAGACTACAGCCTAGAACTTTAATGCTTGTTCACAACATAAGTGAAACATAGATTAAATCATACCTGAGCAATGTTTGGTGTAACAGTGCCGGCTTTTGGATTTGGCATGAGCCCTCGTGGTCCTAGAATCCTTCCTAGGCTTGCCACCTAACGCAAGTTGTAAGGTGTTAAATATGAGCCGCAGTAAAGAGTTTCAAATACTAGGTTGGAAAAATGAGGGATCCATATCAAGCATGGAGAGCCAGGGGTATGTGAATTCATTCAAGTACCTGACAAGCTATGAGGATTTATTTTTTAGTGTTGATGAATATGTTACAACTTACAACAAAAGCAAATCCAAGGCAGTTAAAGTCTTTAAACTATCCACAGGTCAAAAAAAGGCACTAAAACTATTCAAAGTTATCTACAAAAGATAAATATGCTGATAATTGAGGAATGTTTCACAAAAGGAAACAAATAAATATATTCCATTAAATCATAATAAGAGCAGCGAAGCAACACCTTAACCATCATATCGGGGGAAGCAATTAACTTGTCAAATTCCATGAATCCTCCTTTTATCTGTTCAATCAAATCCTCACCACCAACAATGTCTGCTCCAGCATTTTTTGCTTCCTCAACCTTTTCACCTGTAATGTATCATGTTTTAGAGAAAGAAACTTCAAGAACAAGTGAAAAGCAATCTAGATGCATAAGATGAAAGAGAACTGCAAGTATGTTGCATGGGCTAGCTAATTTCATAAGGAAAACTAATCAAATCAAATGAGAATCATCAAAAGTTTATCACACATCAAAGTGGAGTCCTACCTTGAGCAAGCACAGCCACCTTAACAGTTTGCCCAGTTCCCTTGGGCAAAATCACCTATACAAGGAAGTGTCAGAAAAATTGCAGGAGACAAAGAATATAAGTATCATGATGTCGTAATCAAAGACTTACTGTTGCTCTTAGCTGTTGATCATTATACTTGGGATCAATGTTAAGACGAAAATGTGCTTCCATAGACTCAACAAATCTAGCATTTGCCATTTGCTTTAGCAAAGATATTGCTGTCTTTGGATCATACTCTTTCTTGTTTTCCCTCAATTTTTGAATTTCCAGGAACCTCTTAGACCTCGTCTGAAATTTTTAACGAAATTAAAATGCCAGAACCTATGTACTGATATTGGGACAAAGAAGAATAACATAGTGAACATATCAAATAACCTCAATTCAACCACACAATGCGCGGAAGAAACCATCTTTCTACAAAGACAACTATGTTCTGGACATTAAATTAGAGAAAACACAAATCTCGAATCAACAGAGATAATTGCAAAACTCTATGTTCATGGTCCGACTTCCAATATTAAAAATTTCAAACTTGAACAACCATGCTTTTAAACTAAAACCCTAAAAATTCAAACGCAACACAAAAAAGGAATATACATTATTAACTCGGTATAATACATACCCTGTCTCTTTTAAGAGGCAAGGCAGCTTTCCCTTTCTTGGGCTTGGGCGGAGTAATGGCTGTAGCTGCGGCAGCATCACCATCCCCTCCCTTCGCCTCCACATCCTCAGTTACCTCGGTATCTGCAGCCACTGCAGCCACATGGGTGAGCCCCCTATAAGGAAATATACTCCTCACTCTACAGCTCTTGAGAAGCAGTGGGCAGAGAGAGAAATTGGATTTGTTGGGTTTGAAAGAGAGAAGGGAGGGAGTACGATCTTGGGGACGAACTGGGTCTATGGGTTTGGCGCACGGTAGCGTTAGGGATGACGGAGAAATGATGCGGGTAGCCATTGTTGGAAGTTAGGAGTGGCTATCTTATCGTGTCTGTATTACTGTATACCAGCAAATTCAGGAGATAAGACGTGGCTTAGGGTCTCCTGGATTGCTAGACCACCCTTTTAAAGGCTGCGTGAAAGCACACGCAAACACAAATGAACTTGAGGTGGAAATTAAAATAAAATAAAATAAAATATTTTTGGTAAATATGAAAAATACATAATTCATGTGGTTGTGCTTAGTATAGTGCCTACACCATTATTTTCTTTGAAAGTGGTGGCTTTGAGGATATGATATTGATTTTTTTGGCCATTAGGATATGATATTGATTGATAATTTATTTTCTAATTTATAATTCATACTCCCTCTTCTTTTTTTTTTACTACTTTGATTTTTTTTAATTTTTTAAATATGAATTTTAAATTAAAATTTAATTTGGTATGTAAATAATAATTAAAATTTTTTATTAAATAAAAATATTTAATAAGAATTATATATTAAAAAATTATAATTATTATTCATATAAGTTGTTAAATTTTTATTTAAAATTATATTTTTAAAATTATATATTAAATTAAAACTATTAAAAATAAATTGAGGGAATAATAAATTATTATGAATGTATTAAAAAGTAAAACAAAAACATGTTATAATTTAGATTATATTAAATTATACAATATAAACCATTGAATGAGATTGTTTACACCATAAATTGCAGTAACCTAAAGTTATGCCATGTTTCGATTTATTTTAAATGGTTGGAAGAAATTAAACCACATCAAATGCACTGTTCTGGGACCCTTGATAGGTTAAATGCCAAACAATTAAAAAAAAAAAAACCAAAAGAAAGAAGAGAAAGGGGCTAAAGAGATGAGATTTACCCATTAGTTGCCTATT